TGGGAGTTGAAGTCCTCCAGGCTTAAAGTTGCTAAGGTTGGAGACCCCTGCTCTAGTTCAGTATTTCTCAACGTTGGCCACTTCCCAGCTGACAATTTGAGTCTCGGCTTCCATGTAAAACCATGTGAAATAAATAAATACATTTTTAAAGCCAAGCGTCTTTTCTGGAAGCTCAATGAGATAGCTTCAAAGCCTTCTGCTCCAGAGCACGGCCTGTTGGCCTGGGGCAACCGAGAGTCCTCCAGGCCACCAGCATGAGTGGTCTGGGATGAGCCAGGGGTCTGGAAACTTCTTCTCTTTCCCCTGTGCCCTCCAGGACCCCATCAGCCCTCAGAAACACCTCCTTCATGACCTCACAGGGACCCTGTCTTGTTCTCTGCTTCACAGACAACCGATGTATGGACCGGAGATTTCTCACCGCTCGAGCCAAACAATTGGTCGCCCTTGCCAGCTTTCCCGGAGCGGGCAACACATGGGCACGGCATCTCATCGAGCTGGCCACGGGTTTCTATACGGGGAGTTATTATTTTGATGGCTCTCTTTATAATAAAGGTGATTGACATGGCTTCCTTGGGAGGCGGAATAGGTGTGGAATGGGGAGAGGGGGCCAGACTCACTCTGAGCCATTGGAGGAGAACTCAACCGAAAACCTCACTCAGCTATGAATTTGACCCTTTCTATCTCAGCAGCTTCCACCATGGAAGACCAACCAGTGTGTCCCCACAAAATCCAGGCGGTGAATGGAGTCTCTTCTCTAGTCTAAATCAGGGGTCCCCAATCTTGGCCAATTTAAGACTTGTGGACTCAACTCCTAGAGTTCCTCAGGACCTCTAGGAGTTGAAGTCCACAAGTCTTAAAGCAGCCAAGGTTGGAGACCCCTGGCCTAAATAGTGGGTCACTTTTTCTGCCCAACTTCTGGCTTTGCTCCAGCTACCTGGTAGAACATCTCCTAGGCCAGAGGTCTCCATCCTTGGCAAGTTTAGGACTTGTGGACTACAACTCCCAGAATTCCCCAGCCCAGAAATCCACAAGTTGCCAAGGCTGGAGGCCTCTGTCCTAGGCTACCCCGTTGGCATCCGGCCTCCCTTGTCAGGGAAGAACTCCAGACGGATCAAGGTCGTTTCTGGAAGACCGGAGCCTTGACCCCACCATTTCTTTCAAACTCTGCCCAACCCAGACAATTGGGGAATTCGCCTCTTCCGGCCATCGCTTTATCTTCTTCCATTCTTTCTTTTTCTCTCCTTCCCTCTGTTCCTTCCAAATTGCCAAGCCGGCTTCAGATCTTTTTCTTGGGATTTGCGGTTGCCTGGAGACCAAACCTTGGTAGTTCTTGCTCGTTACGGTTCTGAAAGATCCGTGGGAGAAAAAAGACAAACCGGTTAACCGCTTCTTAGAGAAAGCCCCACCAAGTCTTCAAGGGGAAGCTTGGTATCCCATGGAGAGCTCCGTTACTGATCCTCTCGCCGGGCAAAGGAGGTTTAACGACCTGAGATTGAACGATCCCACCGGGGGAAAACCACACGGGACCCTCCCATCTGTAAAGCATCTGTTAAGCTGCCTTGTGAGGAGGGAACGCAGAGAGGAAGGCCTGAAGCCAGCCTGCACGAGAAGTTGAAGAGTAAAGAACAGAGGAATAGAGTTGGAAGGGACCTCGGAGATCTTCTAGTCCAACCCCCTGGTCAAACAGGAGATCCTAGACCAGAGGTCCCCAAACTCGGCCACTTTAAAGACTGGTGGGCTTCAACTCCCAGGATTCTCCAGCCAGCATAGCTGACTCTCTTGCGATCCCTTCCTCTGCAATCTCTCTCCACTTTAGGAGATTAAGAGAGAGAGGAAAAAAGCAGGCGTGGCTGGCGGGGGAATTCTGGGAGTTGAAGTCCACCAGTCTTAAAGTGGCCAAGTTTGGGGGCCCTTGACCCAGACCATTTCAAACAAGCCATTGTCCCATCTCTTCTTGAAAACCTCCAGTGATGCAGTAAGAGAGAGAGACAGAGATACCTGCCACCTTTATCCTTATGTGGGGGGCCATTTTCATTTTAGGATCTCTTCCCGATTAGTTCCTATTTTAAATTATTCTTCAGCAGCCGGTCAAGGGGAAAGACCCTCCTGGCTTTAAATCATTCTCCATCCTGCCTTTTCCTTTCTCTGCCCCTTGCCCTGCCTTGCCTTCCCGGAATCAAGAGACCAGCTATAGAGTTGCCACACCCTTCCCGACATCCTTCCTTCCTTTCCCCATAGTTGCCGCTCACGGCTCACTCTTTCTTTCCCTCCCTCTCCCTCTCCCCCCTCCCCACGCTGCCCAAAGGGTTCAAAGGTGAGCGGGACCACTGGCGCAGCGGCCGGACGATCTGCATCAAAACGCACGAGAGTGGGCAGAAGGAGATCGAAGCCTTTGACGCGGCCATCCTGCTGGTTCGCAACCCCTTCAAAGCACTGATGGCGGAGTTCAACCGGAAGTACGGGGGTCACATCGGCTTTGCTTCTCACGCCCACTGGAAGGGCAAGGGTAGGTCTGCCCAGCTGGGATGCCCGTCCGAATCAGGCGTTTCATTAGGCAGCTCCACCACCTCCGCTGAACCTCAGGACCCAGAAGCTCCGATGCGAGGCCAGAGCTTCCAGAGAAGCTAGGCGGAGTTCAGGTTTCAGGAGAGCCACAGCTGACCGGGATAAGCCTCAATCTTCATCGATAGGGGTGCTCTGAGTGAGGGTCGTGTCTCAAAGAGGAGGGGTGGGGTGCCCATGTTTTGTGACAGGTATGGACCCTTTTAGTCCTAGGAGGTTTGGCCTCCAGCTTTCTACCTTCATGGTTCTTATAAGTCAGCTGTGCAGAATGGAAAGAACTGGGGAAGAAACCTGAACACACACACACACACACATATGTATATTACTTGGAACACTGACAATGTTATTCGCTAAGCCTTCCTTGGCTTAGAGATTAACACGGTCAGTGTTCTAAGTAATGCACCATAGAAAGCAGAACTCCGAGGCTGGCAAATCCCTCAAAAAACAGTTTTATTGGATGCACCATATCGGCACAACTGGTGAAAGCCAACTCTGAAAGTTCCCATGCCTTTCACCCAATGAAAAAGTAAAACTTTCCCCTTTCCCTCCAAGTCACTGGTCACGCTGTCCAAACCAGGTGCTGGCTGGTTGCTTGGTTACTTCACTCCTCCTCTGGCCAGCCCCCTGTGAGAATGTCCTTGGTTCCCACAGGAAAGCTTTATTGTTTGGGCTACCAAACCCCACCTGACTATTCCCGCCCCCCCCCTGTTGTGTGGCAACCCTGGAGCCTCCAAGGTGGCCTCGTCCAGGCCCACTTCAGGGTTGACCAATGTATTTTCTTCCTCCACTCAGAATGGCCGGAATTTGTCAAGAACTATGCTCCGTGGTGGGTGACGCACACCCTTGACTGGCTGAAATTTGGCAAGAAGGTCTTGGTGGTCCATTTTGAGGACCTCAAGCAGGATCTCTTCGTCCAGCTCAAGAGGATGGTCAGCCTGCTGGGCATCGCTGTTCACGAGGACCGCTTGCTGTGCGTCGAGGGCCAGAAGGACGGTAACTTTAAGCGCTCAGGGCTGAGGAAACTGGAGTATGACCCCTACACCCCAGAGATGAAGAAAATGATCAACGGCTACATCAAGACGGTGGACATGGCTCTGAAACTCAGGAACCTCACCGGTGTCCCCAGAGACTACTATCCCAGATGATGGAGATTTCTTGGGGCCGAGGGACCGATCTCTTTAGGAGGGGCAGATTGGCTCCCTCCTGGCCAAGAACCGTTTCCACCCAGGGGGTGGTGCAGGAGGACTCATCCTGCTGGGGCCTCGCTTTGAGAGGGCTCTCTTGCATGAGCAAAGGTGGCGAATGTCATGGTTGAGCGAAGATGTTTCGGCCAACCTGTCTCCAGAAAATGAGCTCCCTCGGTGGGAGATCTTTGCTGCTTCTGCTGCTGCTGCTACCCCCCCACCCCCCACCCCCCAAAGTTTTGTGTTCCTTCCCACCCAAGTAAGGTCGCTCTTCTCTTCCTTAGCCGGTTGCCTTCTCGAACCCAGTTTGAAACAAGCAATTTGGTTCAAAACCCCCACCGTGTGGTCGCCTCCCTTGGTTCTGCTGACCCCGGAAGACTCCTCTGTTTTTGAATCCTGGATCTTCAGAACCTGGTTTCCTCTCAAAGGCTGGTCAGGATAGATCAGCTGATCCCTGCTGAGCTTTGTGCTAGCAATATCATTTCTGCATCTTCCTTCCTTTCCACCTCAAAGCTGCTGGACTCCATCTGAACAATCCTCAGGTCAAATGCCGCCCATTAAACCAACCTTTTGTTAATATCTCCACGGCTGTAGCTGTGGGTCTTTTGTGGGATCCGGTGTCTGTGTCTGGGAGGATGGCACTATCTTGGGTATGAGGTGATGGATCCAGCCACAGGTAAAACCAAACACCTGTCTCTCCCTAATCTTATATTCATCAGCTAGTTGTATCTCTATCTTCCAGCTCCTGCTGAACTTCCAAGGAGCAGCTTTGCTATGATGACGCTCAAGTGAATTAGAATTTTATCTCATGTCATAAATAACAGAGATTCCAAATAGGACTTAGCCTACCTATGTCCCCTATCATCCACCACAGATACACACATACATACATACATACATACATACATACATACATACATGTATGTATCTGTGGTGGATGATAGGGGACATAGGTAGGCTAAGTCCTATTTGGAATAATCTCTCTACTTTTGTGTGCATAAAGGCAAAGATAGGCTGGGGGAAAAATCCCTTAGGTTGTTTTTCAGTTACCTAATGAGAACCAGCTACGTTTTGTGACCACCCAATGCTGAGCGGGAGCAAGGAATCGTGAGGGATGAGAAAGGAGCTGGAGAAGGCGAAGGGCAGCCTTGTGAGAAAGCCTAACGGTCTGGCCAACGTCCACAATAGCCACGCGGCCCGTTGCGACATTTCTCTGCAGCTCCCGCTCGTTTGCGGGCTGTCGTTTTGTCTTTCCCTGCTGGGCACCCCTGATGTGCGTTGTGCGGATGCTTCTCCTTTGGCCAAGAGTCTGCTTGCCGAGCGAGGCGCCCCTGCCCATCCGCGCCCATCAGCGCTGAGCAGAACGGGAGGGCGGCTTCCGCCCAGCGGCAGCTGGAACATCACCAGGGCTGGATGTGGTCTTGCAGGACGGTGGGTGGGCAAAGGAGGGGCTGGGATGCTTCCTATCAGAAAGGGGCCCCTCCCTCCTTTCCTGCGCGGTCCCTCCCTTCCCGCTTACGCTGACCGTGGTGCTGAATGCGAAATGAGCAGCTCCCGCTGGGAGTTTTCACAGGTGCTCCCCCTGCCAGGGCTTCTGCTCAGCAACCCCCCCCCCCCCCGATATCAAAGGCATTTTGATCCGATCATTTTGAGGAGGGGCTGCTGCTGGTGATGGGGTGCAGATCTCTTCCACCCCGGGTGGCCTCTCCTTCTTCCAGTGGGAGGTCTGGGACGTTCTCTCACGGCCCTTTCCGCGTGTGGATGCAACAGCTGATGTGGAAAAAGGGGGAGTTTACCATCACAACTTCTTGGGAAATGCAAGCAAGACCAAGAATGTAATTGCAGAAGTTCTTAAGACATCCTGCACGCATGCTTGGATGTCCAGGGTAGGCAGAGAAATAGGAAAATTAGCTGACCAAAGGCTGTTGGGGGGGAGTGAGAGGAGAAGGAGAGGAGGAGAAGGGGGGAGAGAGGGAGAGAGGGAGGGAGGGAGGGAGGGAGGAAAAAAATAATATTGTCTCCACTGTTGCAAAGTTATGAGAGTCCAGACTCACTAAGAAACAACTGCAGCCTTCAAGGTGAGACTTTCCAGTCTCCATCTTAAATTCGTTTCCTGCTTTCATCCCAATTGTGCTCTCACATCATATAGTTGGGTCATGCCAAGGCTGAGCAAAACCAAAAGGCTAAAATGTGTGAAAGTTGTGATTCGGTTTTGCCGTCCCCTTGTTGTGTAAACGAAGCTCGCTTGGCTAGACTGTGACTCCGGATATGGTGCAAATCCCTCCAAATTGATTAATTCAGAAGCGTCGGATTTCGCCATCAGAGGGACTTATCGCTGGATTACGCCAGATCAGGCGAATTCAAAATAGGCAGATAAGAGAGCTAGGGAAACAAATCTTCTATCGGTCTGCCCGTCTCTCCTTTTTCAGCCCTCCGGCTCATGAGGCCGATGTTTTCCTGCCACTTTGCAGATCTGCTGAGCTACGCAAAACCCTCGAGAAATGCCCTAGAACAGCGAGAAATGCCCGTCGTGCAAAACCCAGCTCCGTTTGCAGATTAGGAGAATCCACCCCATTTCCCACTGTGTGGAGGGCGACCCCCAAGGCAGGAATGAAGAGGGCTGTTTATTCCAGAGAATCGCACCCAGCTCCCTGACCCCATTCAAAGACGGAGGGGGCCCCCCTTTTGTCTCTAACCTTCCTTAGGATTTTGCTTTGCTTGGCATCCCACCGGCTTATTAATTTTGAGGTGCCACCCCGCCCCCGGGAGGACTAGACAACGGCTGGTTGGTTATACCTAGTGGTTGCTATAGCAACCCTGCCTTCCCATTCAAACCCAGGCTGGTGTTCCCTGTAAAATTTAAAAATACTTTGGACGGGTGGCTGTTTCAGCAGACCGAGAGAAAAGATTCAGAACAGAAACAGGTGAACGTGGGGCCTGAAAAATGAGGAGATGTTCCCTTTTGCACAGATAAAAATGGACACACACACGCACACACACACACACACACACTGAACTCCAAGCCCTTTAGATCCCCTCCTGGGTGGAGACCAAGACTGAAGGTCCCAGAGGCATCCAGTGAAGGAATTCATTGGTTTCTAAGTTGGCTCCCAATGAAATATTGAGTTACTCTAGGAAATAATTTCCTAAGATACCCGAAAGAGGAGAGAGAGAGAGAGAGAGAGAATTAAGAGTGAAGTCCTTCAGATCTGTCATGCTGTCTCGGTGGCAAACTGAGTGATCCTGTTTCCCTTCCTTCCGAGGACAGCATTAAAACCTGGGTTTTTTATGCCTCCTGGGGGGTTTTCAGTTCTTCAGTTCTCCCATCATCTCAATATTGAACTAAATCGTTATATGTCCGAGCAAAGCTTTGTACCCCGGGAATAAAACAAAAGCCCACGGATTCCCAAAGCGTGAGCTCCATCACTGATCCACAATCTGGACAGGACTGCAGAATATTTTCCAACAACGACGCCCATTGTCTTGAAGGGAATGGTCTGCTTAAAGGAAGAAAGTTAACCATCTTATTGGTCAGTGGGGAATTCTTGGAGGCCCCTCAGGCCATGTTTAGATCTACCCACTTTCCTTCTTGCTTCAAGTTTTTATTGTCTTCAAGACTTTGTGCAGACCCAAGCATGACTTTAAAACCAGACTGAAGAGATGGATTCCTTGTTCTTGTTATTCTAAATTTATTGTGTTTATTCGTTTACCTTGAAGAAGCCTCAGGACTCCCCAAACTTTTCCAATGGAACTCTCTAGAGAATAAAACTACTGAATGTTTGCATCTGCACTTGGAAAACGGTTGCCTTAGCTGGGGAAACACAATCCATATGGAAAACAATTCGTTGTGACTACGTTTTCACAAATAAGAGTGCACACTTTTGCTGAAAGACCAGCACACCATAGCACACCTGTTATAAGGAAGAAGGAGGCAGAATACGAAGAAAATTCCTCCAGCGGAGAAGTCAGGCCATTGCAATTAACAGGAGCAGAAAAACAGGGACGCGTCTCTCGGCTGAACATCACAAATGTCAGTTTTAATTCAGATGATTTGGGAGAAGGTGCTTAACAATATAATCCACTCGTATGTTAATAAAAGCAACAACATGCCTAGGAAGATGAGAGAGAGTAAGTCTTCCACGCCATGACATTCATCCCTCCACAAAAGAAACATGTTTGTTTATCACTTTTACACTTTTTCCATAAAGTTTATGGTCCACCATCTGCCAGAACATGGGGAGCTGGGATTGGAATGGGGATCCGTCCAAGCAACGTGGCACCCAGGAAGAAAACAAATATGTCTTCCTTTTGTTTTGCTCCCATCATTTCTCAAACAAAAGGGGGGGATTTATGGAAATAACATGCCGCACAGCTTTGTTTCCATAGCCTGACAGCTAAACTGGGGGGGAGGGGGGGGAGAGAACAAAACACCACCCCATAATAATGGAAAGCAAGGCAGGCTAAACCCAAATGTTACGGGTGTCACTCAGAGGAATCTCTTCCAATGTTTACACGAACGTGCGATTGGAACCAGCCCAGATGTCTGAAAGGATGCAGAGAAGGAGTGTAACTGTGCAGTGAGGATTCATCGGCACCCATCACCTCCTGAACATGGAAAGGGAGAGAGGCAGGCGAGGGAGAGGAAGGCTCTGGGTGATTCCAAGAAGGCAACTGAAGCAGAAGGAAGGAAAACGGAATAAGAAGGCCCGTCTCTGGATCCCTGTAACAAGCGTGAAACCAGAAAACTATCCACCAGAGAGTGTTCTTTTCCTTTCTTTTCCTTCTTTCCTTCCTTTCCTCCCTCCCTCCTTCCTTCCTCCCTCCCTTCCCCATCTCCTTCCTTCCTTTTCTCCCTCCCTCCTTCCTTCCTCCCTCCCTCCCTTCCTTCCTTCCTTCCTTCCTTCCTCCCTCCCTCCCTCCTTCCTTCCTCCCTCCCTCCCTTCCCCATCTCCTTCCTTCCTTCCTTCCTTCCTTCCTTCCTTCCTTCCTTCCT